GGCCTAGGGTAATTTTTAAGAGGGGTTTTTAGAGGGGTTTTTAATTATATTTTAAATTAGACAAGTTAAATATTTCATTTTAATTAATTTTAAATTTTGTGATGTTATTGGTGTTTTTAATTGATTGTCAGCCGCCCTGAGTCCGCAAGGAGAAGGGCGGGATATAAATTCGAACAATAAATAAATAAAATAAATAAATAAAATAACGTTTGCTAGTGAAATAACTATTTATTTGGAAGTCTTGAAAGACTCTCAAGATAATAGCGTGAATGGTTCACAGGAGATTGCATCTCTCTTTCCAAAAGAAAAACAGTAGGAGTTAACTTTATTCAGGTGCCTTCATCCTGCTGTGTTAGCCTCATATTCATCCACAAATTATCAGGCAGACAAGTAGTACTGTGTAGAGCTAATGCTCTTTCTCAGTAGGATTATGGAAATGATGCCTGCTAAATCTTGAGAAAGTTACATTGGCATAAGTGATAATCCTTTACTCAGCCAATTTAGACAGCATTTGAAATAAAATGGGTTAGAATATTGCAATTGGCTATACGGTTTATTTATTTATTTAGAAAAAAAGGATACTTAAAGAGAGCAACTGAAAACATAAGAAACGAGGATAATGGCTAGGTCTCTGACAGCATTGCTTTCTGATCGTTGTTTAATTACTAAGACCAGTGCTTTAAAAAAAAAAAAAGAAAAAGGTGCCGGAACTCACACACGTCATACAACCCACCTTGCCTACCCTACAAGGTTCCATCCCAAAAAGGTGCCGGAGCTCCGTTCTGGGCGTTCTGTGAGAAAAAAAGCCCTGACTAAGATTACATCAACAGTCCATTGCTAACAAGGCCCCAATGGCTCACTGAAATGGGAGAAATTATTTCCCCCCCTTAGAAGACCAGATATGCTAATACCCATTTGCAGTCTAAAGAATTCAATCCAGCTTAATCATTCCTCCCACTACTTTGTGAGAACTAGTTTAAGAGCACTTTTACCCAGCTCTGTTTCCACTCCCCAGCAAACCAACCAGAATGCACAAAATCACTGTTCAGTTAACGCCTTGTCCTCTGAGTTACTCTCCTCTCTCCTACTTCGTACCTATAACAGGGGTGGGCGACTATGGCCCCTTTATGACCTGTGGACCAGCTTCCCTGCTGGCTCAGAAAGTTTGGGAGTTGAAGTCCCCAGGTCATAAAGGGACCATAGCTGCCCACCTCTGGTCTATAAGGACATTTTAAAAGATTGCAGTAACTCCTTTGCCCTCTGCTTCCCTTCCCACTTCATGCTGCTTTGATGGAAAATTAAGGGGAGTTATTATGGGAAGAGCTGATATTATAAAGTGTCTCTATGCTGGAGAGGGTGGTGCTGCCAGCTCTGAAGGAGGCAGTGGTGGACCCCCTTCTCAAGAGGCCATCCTTCGACCCAACAATATTAGGCAACTTTGTTCAGTCTCCAGTCTTCCCTTTTTAGGAAAGGTCATTGAGGAGGTGGTTGGCAAACAGATACAAAAGTCCCTGGATAAAATAGATTATCTGGATGCTTTTCAAGCTGGGTTCAGGTTGGGGCATAGCACTGAAATAGTATTGGTTGCACTTGTGGATGATCATTGAAGGGCTCGAGATGAGAGTGGTTCAACCATTCTGGCCCTCCTGGAGCAATGGCTTTTGATATATTCATTCATTCATTCATTCATTCATTCATTCATTCATTCATATATATCCCACTTTTATTTTTTATAAACAATTCAAAGTGGTGTTTGGAGAAGATGGATTGATTATATTGAGTTTAAATATGGAACAAAAAATATCATTTGGTTTTTGAATGAATTTCTGAGTATTATTTTTGTTTAAAAGTTATAATGTTATTTAGTTTTATTTTTAATATTTAAAATTCTGTTAATATTATGGTATTTAATAATTGTATATTTGTTTTAAAAGAGAGTTAAAGGAAGTTATAGATTTGTTAGATTAATAGTTGATTAATGTTAGTTAGATTATGATTATTTTATTGTTAATCCTGTGATTGGCTCTGGGAAGTGAGGGGGGGGAGGGATGGAGGGTTGGGTTTGGGGGGGGATTTATATTGTAAAATTTTATAAAATTTTCAATAAAAAAAAACAATTCAAAGTGGCAAACATACCCAGTACTCCTTCCTCATCCTATCTTCCCCACAACAACAATCCTGTGAGGTGGGCTGGGCTGGGCTGAGAGCAGCTGCCCCAAGTCACACTATTCTTCTGGATGATCTTCAGGAATTCAGAGTGGGAAGTGCTGTGCTATGCTGGTTCTCCTCCTTCCTCCATAGCTACTTCCTTGGTGTTGGTGCAAGAGGAGAGGTCAAGGCCTAGGCCACTGCAATGTGGGTTTCCTTGGGGCTTGAGCCTCTTGCCTCTCCTTTTTAACATAAACATGAAAGCCCTGGGAGTGGTCATCTGTCAGTATCATCAATCTGTTGATGATTATCAATTATATACCTCCACCCCTAAATGGACAGCTGATACTGTGGCAGTGCCGGTCAAGATTCTGGGGGTGGGGGGAGGAATCAGCTTTGACACTCAACCCTGGCAAGATGGAATGGCTCTGGGTTTTTGGCTATCTAGCCCCAGATTCAGATATTTCATCTTTGACTCTGGACAGAGTAGCAATCTCTGAAACTATGTTGGTATGCAATTTGGGGGTCCTCCTAGAGCAGGGGTCTGCAACCTTAAACACTCAAAGAGCCACTTGGACCCGTTTCCCAGAGAAAAGAAAACCCTGGGAGCCGCAAAACATGTGCGTGCACGCGCATGCAAGGGGTGGGGAGCCTGATTGAAGAGTTTAATTAAAAAGAAATAGAGGCTGCTGTGCATGAGTTCAACAAGATGACACACATTATTGGGCTGGCTCTCTCCTGCCCTTCCTGCTTCCTGCAGCAAAGGGAGGAGCCCCGCCCAATAAGCTTTCAGCTCGTCGGAACAGCGCGAGGCTACTCTCTTTTTTACACACACACACACACACACACACAGAGAGAGAGAGAGAGAGAGAGAGAGAGAGAGAGAGAGAGAGAGAGAGAGAGAGAGAAGAGGGAAGTGCAAGTGCCTCTCTCTCTTTCTGTCTGTCTCTCTGCAAATGGCAGAGGAGGCTGGGAGCCACAGGAGAAGGCTCAAAGAGTCACATGTGGCTCCGGAGCCGCGGCTTGCTGACCTGTGTCCTAGAGTGACTCATGTCTCCTGCTCCTGCCATGGCCAGAGGAACATTTGCAAAGATTCATCTAGTAGTGCACCAACTGCACCCTTTTCTGGATAGGGAGGCTCACAGTCACTCATGCCTTGGTAAATTTACATTTGGATTACTGCAGTGTGCTCTACCTGGGGCTGTCCCTGAAGACTACCCAGAAGGCTGCATGGGGGAAAAGAGAATGGTATAAACGCAAACTTCAGGCTCTAGAAATGGAACGGGTTGGCAGCTGGGGAGCGAAGAGTTAGGACTTAAGAGGCAAGGCAAGGCAGTGGTTTCCTCCAGTGAGAGCACAAATCACCCACAAGCTCCCAACCACAATGTTTTAGATGAAACTTCAACTTTGCCCCAGTTTCAAATTCAGATACTGTCGAGCAAGGAAAAGGTTGATTCAAATCTGCAAATTAGCCAGTGTCATATAAGCATGCAGACTGAGAGTTGGTTTTAAAGTTCTGAGGTCATCATGAGTAGACCTTGCTACATGATAATGGCTACTGACAAAAATCTTTTACCCCAAATTCTCTCCAGCAAATCTTAGTCTGAGATATAGCAATAACAGTCCAAAGAGACAATACAATTATATTTTATTTCTTAGAAGACCAAAGAGGATAGGAGAGGTCAAACATACAGAAATGGTAGGACCCCTCTTACTTCATACACGACATAAATGAGAAGAGGTGGATTTCTCTTGGGCTCACAGATGCAAAAGGATATACAAAACACACACAGAAGCAGGGAGCAGATCTTTTTTTAAAAAAAAAAAAAGATAAAAATAACAGAAACTTTTAATGGAAGCAAAAAGAAGAGACTAAATAAATGTGTTACATGGAATCGCGGTTCCAAAAACCTCCTGCTTACTGTATATTTTTAGGTTGAGCTAGGGCAGGGGTAGGCAACCTCGGCTCTTTTATGACTCATGGACTTCAACTCCCAGAATTCCTGAGTCAGCATAGCTGACTCAGGAATTCTGGGAATTGAAGTCCATGAGTCATAAAAGAGCCGAGGTTGCCTACCCCTGAGCTAGGGCAATCTGCAAGCTGGCTTTGTCCCACAAATGGAAGTTGGGAGGACATGGAAAAATTATGATGCCAGTGGATCGGTGACCCGTCCCAGAAAGATTGGGACCCCTTGACCCCCCATAATCAAAAAGAGGAATGGCTGTTGCACTTCAAACATTGTGGCTATACGTGCTAGGCTGACTGCTGTTGCGGCAGCTCCTTCTACTCCCTCCTCTGAGATTTGTAGCACAGCTTTGTGTTTGGCACTGGACACAACGACTGGTTCATTTTGAGCGATCCCACACAAATCGGCATCATAGAAAAGCCCAAAATCTGAAAGGAAATGTTGAAAGAATGCATAAGAAATGGCTCAGCATTTGAAAGAAAAACTGATCTAAAACTCGATCTAAATCCGCAAAACTCCATGTTCAGGTCATTTCCACATTACGTCTTTGTACATAGCTGAGATATGCTGCTTTTCCAGAATTATTTAAAGAGAAATTATGACATATACAGTATTCGTAATAACACTATTCTAATAACTGGCCATGCCCCTCCCTCCTCGTAAAGGTTTTTCTGTGATACACAATGGCAAGTCAATCCCATTCTGCAACGTTCTCTCACCTAGAATAATTAACAGCTTCCTATTTAGTTAAACATTAATTAAAAGCTCCATACTGTATTCGGTCAACTTCTATTACCTAATGTTTATGCGTATGATATGTTTCTTATCTTTTCTCGTTACTTTCTTCTTTTCTTTCTTTTACAGCCATCTTTCCAAGTATCCTCTCACAAGGGAGGCCAAAGTGACTAACCTGAAAGCAACCCCAAAAATCTCAGTAGTGTTTTCTTTTCCCCAATGCTAATGATGTTCTATTATTCAAGAGAACTGCACTGAAAACAGAACCAGGGAAAATGTTTTTTTTTCTATTTCCCCATTATTTATCCTCCAAAGTTACAGACAGTCTTCAACTTACAACCATTCATTTACAGACCGTTGGAAGTTGCAACAGCACTGGAAAAAAAAAGTGACTTGCATTCACGACTGTTGTAGCATCTCCAGGGTCACGTAATCGGAATTCAGGTGCTTGGTAATCAGAATGTATTTACAAAGGTTTCAGTGCCCCAGGGTCAAGT